GTTACTGTGTTGCCTGGTGATTGAGTGGTGACTGGTCCATACTGAACTTTACTTTTGTTCCCATGGATGAGAGGGTAAAGATAACTGATAAATACTTGAATGGTTGTCAATAATTTTTCAACAATTTGTCAATAATTTGTCAATAATTTGTAACAGGCCAATTGTTAATATAAAAAAATTACACAAAAATATATGAAAGAAAATTTAGAGGCTACCTTTTTTTCACAGACCCATAGTTGCCTGAGGTCTTAAACTGTAGAAACAGTTTCTTTGGTAAACCCACATATCCAATTGAATCAAATTAGAAAGGCATACATTATCATCAGCTTTTTGGCATGTTTCTAATGGGAGCCTTACAAAATAATTTAACAATTGTTAACAATGATCTTACTGATTGATGATTGCCAGACTGATCAGTTTCTTATATCCAAAAGCAATAAAAATGCAAAAAGAAATAACTGAACTAATTGGAATACTTTATAGGGTTTAATTATAATTCTATTTTAGCAAGGTTTAATATTCTCATGTTTGAGAAAGGTTTTCATCCTGTATAATTTGTTTGTGTCAGAGTCAGAGAGCCGTGTCTTTAACAATCTGAGGTTTTTGTACGACGGTTGCATTAGTTTGTATCACTGTGGTACACGTTCGGTGGAGGAACCAGACTGGATGTTAACTGTAAGTACAACTAAGCTTTTCAAAATTTGTTTTCTCTCTGATGTCATTTTTTAAATGTTTTTTGTTAAGAGGAAAAGTGTATTTGAGGGGATTTACTTGTTATTTATTTATTTAAAAACTTTAATGACGGAGTTGCACTAATAAGATGAGTATCAATACTTGTTAATAGTTTCCATTCAGAAAAGAAAACAACTGATAACCAAAACTTAGCAGTATAAATATCTAAATTATAGTCATGTTTTCCTATCCTACTGTCAGATTGATTATGTTTTATTGAACAACAACTTTAACCTCTTTTTTCTTATATTTTATATTATTAACAAGCGGTGTGTCACTGGATGTAGTTGAATTTGCGTCTCATTTATGTTTTCTCTAATGTTTTGATGACAGTTTTTAAAGTTTTTGAAATTGCCGGAATCTTTTTTTACTTAAATTTAATATTTACACTACTTAAAAAAAAACAGAGTCTCTATGTTTGTTTATTTAATTTTTGTAATTTAAATGGAAGTAAAAATCTTCTCAACGCTGTAGAAAAAAGTTGTTATTATGAGATCTTACAGTAAAGTGGGCATANAACTCTGACAGTAATAAACTGCAGCATCTTCAGCCTGAACTCCACTGACGGTCAGAGTGAAGTCAGAGTTTGATCCACTGCCTGTAAAACGACTTGGAGTCCAGGAGTCTCTAGAGCTAGCAGCATAAATGAGGCGCTTGGGAGTTTGTCCATCTTTCTGTTGATACCAGGCTAAATGGTTAGAGCCATGAACATTCTGACTGGTTGTACATCTGATGCTGAAAGATCCTCCCAGATAAGCTCCCACTGTTGCAGGCTGAGACACTGTGACCTGACCTCTGGACACTGAGGACACAGACACAAAAACATCAAGCAGCTTCATTGTCGGCTTCATCTCAGAGGGACAGATGTTCATAGAGGAGAGGAGTTTGATTCTCTGGACTTTACCTGAGAAGCAGCAGCAGAGGAGAGTCCAGATGAGGACGCAGATCAAAGTCATGTTTTTGATGAGGAGGATTTCTGTGTATTCTGTTGTCATGAAGGACAGCTGTCAATCCAGTGTTCAACTCTCAGGACTATAAACTCTCCCAGAGCGCTGGAGCATGGAGCTGCTGATGCAAAGTGGCTCTATGGAAATACTCTGAGTCCAACAGTTATTCAGATTCATGTATTTAAGGATGCATTTATGTTTTTCTCCTCATTGTATTTTTTTTATTCTCTGACATATCTCTGTGTATTATTTTTCTATTTTTTTAAGCTGAAATATATTCACTTTACAAAATGTTTAGTAAGGTTTTTTGCCTGTACACTATATTTCTCTCTTTTTCTTTAAAAAGGTTCAAAGTAAAATTTTAGAATTTCTGTATCCAGATCATGTCCGCCTGATGCCTGTGTTTCTGCCTCTGGATTGCTAGATCGGCTGCTAGCTTCTGCTCTCCAGTCATCAAGCTTCTGACTGTTAACTGCACCTATCTGTTGTTATGCTATTTCCTACATACAAGCCCCTGTTGATCAGAGCAAAACCTACAGTGAAGAAGGTGAGGGTGTGGACTGAGGGGGCCTTGAAGGCACTCCAGGACTAATTTAAATCCTCTGACTGGAACATGTTCAAAGCTGCAGCAACATATGACAACAAGATCAATATTGATCAATAAGTCATGAGTATGTCAGCCTAAAACAACAAACGCATTGAAGATGTCAGCACCACAAAAAACATCATCATCCGGGCCAACCAATGACCCTTGATGACTGAAGAGGTGCGATAAACCCTAAAAGCACGGAACTAAGCCTTCAAGGAGCAGGCACTAGGCCTAGATAGAGTGGGAGCAGAGAGGCAGGACACATATGCAAACAAGACAAGAGTCAGTCAAACACAGTCATCATATTTCTTCCTTAATGCTGATAGATAAGCATCTTTATATCCACACTATGCAGTAAATTATCCACTTCTTGAGGAACAATAAGTTTTGTTCTTACACTAATTTGACATTCATGATTTATAGTAGCAGCCATTCCCTTCCTTGTCAAAAGCCAGGGGAGTGGCAGCCCACTTCTCTGCAGCTCCCAGCAAAATCCCCTCTAACTTCCAGCCACTTGCCTTCTCCTAGGCATTTATATTTTTTTACTCTGACTCCACCCTTCCACTGAATTACAGGATCTGATGAGGAGATAATGCTTCTCTTTAGATTAATGTCCACAAATCATGACTGAAAGAATATTTTAGTACAAAGATTGATGTTTAAAAAGGAATTGTAGGGGACCAGCCAAGGAGCAGCTAAGGGCCCATCAAGGAAAATGGGGAAATTTTGAATGGCTAATACTGTATATCGTTGAGGAAACATGTTGCCTAGAGTTTTTTTCTTTAAAGGAGTATATAATCCTTCAATAATCGTTAAATTAACGATACAAAAAAATAAGCAAATAACACTTGTCTTTAGTATTTATACCATGCAGAATTAGTATTGTATACTACCTTCAAGTAAGTATATGTAGGTTGTCATCAAGGCAATGGAACAGCACCCCCTAGTACAGGGGTCGGCAACCCACCTGTATTAGGGGCTATTTAAAGCACCCTTTGCGGCTCCTTGGAGCTTTGTCAAAAATGTATGAAAATGGAAAAATATTTTTTTGTTTGTTTGACTTAAAGCTACAGTGTGTAATTTTCAGCGACAACGTCCAGACTGCAGACCGCAGCAACATGAACATCTCCCCCCCACCGCTTCT